ATTTCCCTCAACAACAGTGACAGTTGTCAGCTCTCTTGCTACCCCTCAGCCTCCCCCCTGGGGCCTCGAATCGATACCAGATTAAGTCTTAGTGGACGACTTGTTTCTATTTGGAGCACATGCTCTCTCTCACTGACTTATGAGAGCTCATGGCCTTCTCTTCGTTTCACACCAAGTCAGGGTTAGATTTAGAGACCTCCATCAGCCTGCCCGGTGCTATCTCACTCCCTTTACCTGCTTTCCTCCTGTGTGGTCAGAGCTCCCCAGAGAAACAGAACTAATCGGATTACAATTGGCCTTCCATATCTGCAGATCCCACATCTGCAGGATGGAAAATATTCAGGGAAAAATGTTACGTTGTGGCTGATGTGTACTATGTACTTGGGCCTACGACGGTCACATCTGTACTAAAATGTGCAGACTTTTTGGAATCATTACTCCCTCAACAATACAGTATAACAACTATTTACATAGCACTTACATTGTGTTAGGTATTGTGAGTAATCTAGAGATTATTTAAAGTTCCTGAGGGGTTGTGCATAGGTTATATGCAATTGTTATATCACTTTATATAAGGGACTTGATGTATCCATGGATTTTGTTATCCACAAGGGTCCTGAAATCAATTCCCCACAGATGCTGAGGGATGACTGCATCTATCTATCTATCTATCTATCTATCTATCTATCTATCATCTATCAAGAGAAAGATTGAGTTTGAAATTGATGTATTTTAAGGAATTGCCAGGTAGCAAGTCCAAAATCTTGTAGGGGCATCTTGCAGGCTAGAGATTCAGGTAAGAGTGATGTTGCAGTCTTGACTGTGAAGGTTGAAGACTCAGGTAGCTTTTCTATGCTGTTGTCTACATGCAAAATTCCTTCTTCTTTGGAGAACCTCAGTCTTTGCTCATAATGCCACCAATTGATTAGGTGAGGCCCACCCATGTTATGGAGAGTGGTCTGCTTTACTTAAAGTCACTGGGGAGTAGGTGTTAATCACAGCTGAAAAATACCTTCACAGCAACATCTAGACTAGTGTTGACCAAACAATTAGTCACCCTAATTTAGCCAAGTTGACACATAAAATTAACCATGACACCTTCTTCATTGGATTCAGACGAAATGGTATTACATTGTCACTGACCCTTCACCTACATCATCTAATATGACCTGTAGGTATTCCAGTTCCCACTGACCTGTCAGCAGGAGCCTTTTATGCTCCTTTTTCTATGTTACATTAGCTTTCATTTTTACTAAACCCACCCCATGTCTCATTTCTCCCTAACTGGTTTCACCCTGACTGGCATATGTACTCTAAAACTCAAGTAAGTTTGCCAGACTGGTATACATGTACACTTACCATTTGCAACATGGTATTCATTTTGAAAGTAAAGTAGCAGACAGTATGTTCTAGATTTTCTGGGACTATCCAAATATTCTGTTGTTATTTTTAATAAAAATGATTCTTCAAATACATATCCAAAGGTGATTATTTTTTACAATGCATTGAGACTTTGTATAGAAATAATTTAAAAAAAGAAATCTTTTTCACATCATGAGATTTCTGATTTTAGGTTTAGAAAATACAGTTACCATCAAATTTGTTCTTACTCATTATAGAGAAATTGAATGAAGTCTTGGATCCATCAAAAGTGGTATTATTTAATATGTGGTGCCTACATCAGCAATTATCACTCCCTTAAGTTTTGTGGGTGGGGTCCTTACGAAATGCAGCAGAAACGAGAAGAAGGTGGGCAAGAGTGTATTTCAGTTTAAAATAGTATCTAGCTGGGCACCTTGGCACAGGCTGGATTATATAAAGTGGAAAGAGTGGTATTGTTGAAGGAGCTTCAGGGTGGATTTAAGGAGACTCAGAGTCGTACCTGAGCATTACCTGTGATTAGCCCTGCGATGCTTGACCAATTTCCTCTTCTATAAGGTGTTATTTTGAGGCCTAGGATAATGCATGTTAAAGTTCTGAGTAGAAGTTGTACAGTGCTAACAGTTGTTTTAAGAAGCCACCGTTGTTAGGGAAATTTTGTGGGGAATTTTGTAACCAAGGTGACGAGGGCCTTGGTTTGATCTCCATGCTGATTTGACTCTGTGCTCGTGAAGACCTGGTGTAGCTTGAAGTAACAGTGGTGTCCAACACCAGCTGTTGAGCACCTAAATGAAGTGGTCTCAGATATAAGGAGAAAGGGGGAGGGATGCCCGAAACACAGGGGGATAAATCTGGCAGGATGTGGTGAGTGTATACATGGGATTCGAGGAAGGGAAGAGCTAAGGAAGATGCCAGTTTGAAGAGATGAGGTCTTTGTTGGACCCTGTCAGCTGTGATCACCAGCGATGTATGTCTGAAACCCAGAGAAAAATTAGGGCTGTGGGGTTCGAATTTGGGAATAATTAACATATGCCTAGTGGTTAAACCCAGTGATTACAGGAGGTCACCATGGGGAGTGTAGAGTGGTAAGAGCTGGTGGCTGAGGATGAATCCTGCTAAACACTACCTAATCCTCACCATTATAATGCACGTGAGCCTTGCTCAGTAACAGTTATGAATGAACAAATGAGTGAATGAGTGAATGGGAAACAAACAGGGCTCAGTTTGACAAACAGTCAAATGACTTTGGGAGCAAGAGAAAAGAAGGTGCCTGTACTAGAGTAAGGTAGGAAACCAGAAGTGTCAAGGCCCCCAGGGTCTAGCCAAACAGTGGCCTTTATAAAATCTAAATGCAGTTCTCCTAGTTAAGAAGGACTACTCACCCTTTCTGGTAAACAGTTTGGCAGCCTTATCAAGCCTTTGTTAAGTTACTATCCCTTAACCCAAGCATGTCAAACTCGCGGCCCACGGGCCGCATGCCTCGTTTATTTAGCCCGTGTTAGCCTTTGCGTTTGACATGCTGCCTTAACCCATTAATTCCACTTCCAGGAATCCACCCAAAGAAAGTACGCAGTGCTGCAGACAAAGTTTATGTAGAAAAATAGTTCATATTCCTGAGACATGAACTTCCCTGGAAGGCTTGGGTTGGGATATTTTTTAAAGTTTTGATACTGTGTAGAACTATAGCTCAGGATACAGAATGTTCGTTAATGTTTAAGATAGAAGATGAGCAAAGAAATCTTGTCATTTGCTCTCATACCCTCCACTGTCCTCTACTCTTGGAGCTCCCTTAGTGGGAAAGTCGGGGATATTCTGGCCGACAGGGTGAAGTAAGCGCCTTTGTTGGCATCCATGATATGGCCCTTGTGGTTTCCAGTTCAACCTCATTTCGGGGCATTCCTGGCTTCTCATGTCATGTTCCACAAATATTTTGAGAAGTTTCTTGAATACATCAGGATGTTGTACACCACCAAGCCTTTGCCCATGGTAATCCTTCCTTCTCTCTATCTACATTGCCCTTCTCCCATTTAGTGAACTCCTAGTCATCCTTCAAACAAAACAATTTATGTAAAGTGCCTAATGCAGTGCCTGGCACATAGTAGGTCTGCAGTAAGTGGCAATTACTACCTTTGCTATTGTTGGGTCCAGCACAGGCTAGACTTTATAGAAAAGACTGGACTGCATGTTTGCATCTTCCCTAAATTGTCTTCTAGAATGTGTGGTATTGAACTAAAATGACCTTCTGCTTAAAGTTAGGGTGGTTCATCCGAGGACGGCTGCCAAGGCTTGCTCCTCCCTCAGAGAGAAAGACTCCATGCTGGACTTCTAACTAATTCTCAAATGGAGATGATCACTGCAGAGGTCTCAGGATTTTCTGAGGTCATCTACTTAGGGATTGGTGACTAAGACTTAACACAATTTTGAGGTCTCTACCTCCTGATTTATTGGAGCATCCTTGTCCAGAAAGTCCTCTTAAAGTTCATCTTCTAGTTTTGGCTGGCTTTTGCTTTGATTTTATTAGGCTATTACTTTTATGGTTTGTTTTGTTTTGTTTTTCACTTATGACTACTACGTTCAATTGTCTGGGGGGATTTTTTTTAGGGAGAGGAGAGTTAAAATGCCACAGTACTCTTTGTGGCCATCAGGCCCCCACTTACGGGCTCAGGAAGTGAGAAGGAACTTACCCAATACCTAGACTGGATGGTGTGAACCATGGCCTGCAGAATCATACGTCTGCCTGAGCAGCACCTGTGGGCCTGGCGTGGTCTCTGGCTCCTCCAGGTTCACCGGGGACCAGCAGCACCCCCAAGCAGGTGTCCCCTCTTGTGGGAACGTGGGCATCTGCTCTCCCACAGTGGTGATTTGCCCTTCGCTGCCAAAACAATTGTTTAAAAGAGGAAGCTCTTTGGGTCATAAAATGTCATCAGGTAGTTCGTGTGTACTTATGTAGACATACTGGATTGTACAGTAGCCTGGTTGGCAGGAAGTAGGTGATTCATCAGAGAAAAAAAAAAGATGAAAAAATAAACTCTTACCAAATGAACTTCCTCTTTCAAACTCTCTTTGTTTCAGCTCATCCTTTTAGACCCTTTCCTAGCCTCTTAGGAAAAAAAAAAGCAAAACTAATAATACAGTGTTTCAGCCGAAACCGATTTGGCTCAGTGGATAGAGCGTCCGCCTGCGGACTGAGGGGTCCCGGGTTCAATTCCGGTCAAGGGCATGTACCTTGGTTGTGGGCATATCCCCGGTAGGAGATGTGCAGGAGGCAGCTGATCGATGTTTCTCTCTCATCAGTGTTTCTAACTCTCTATCTCTCTCCCTTCCTCTCTGTAAAAAATCAATAAATTATATTTTTAAAAAATAATAATAATACAGTGTTTCAAAGACAGGTCATCCCAGCTCTTCGCAGCTCAATGCTGTGTTTTCCTGTGGTTAGATAAAAAACAAGGCCCATGCTCTCCGCCCCCAGTCAGGCCAGGGCTGGGGTGCGTGTACTGCCTAGACACGGTGCCTCTGTCAGCTCCCTCGGTTTCATGTTGAGGCGTTTTGGATGTTTTCTGTGTCCCCCTATGGTAGAGCATCCCACTCACATGGTTCTCTTCATTTTGTTTGCCTCACAGGTCCAGGAGGCTGCCAGTCGGGGCCTGAAATTCGTGAGTGTCATCCCTCAGTACCGCTGCCCTGTGAACTCAGCAGGCAGCAGCCTCCCGGTGGGGGGTGGGGACAAGAAGAACCCAGGTGCTCCAGCAGGGGCGGATGGAAGCCCAGAGCCCAACCAGGGCCCAGGAGGGGAGACACCCATCACCGCCAAACAGCCCAGCTTGCCTTTGGAGGAGGGGGACGATGCCGACTTTTCCAAGACTCTGGATGGACCGGATGGGGACCTGTCCGAAGTGCCTGGGGAACCGCTCTCGGGAAGTAAGTATGTCAGCACAGGGCCTATTGGCCCGAGGGAAGAGAGGCTAACAGCTTCTCAGGAATCCCCATGGCATTTTATGAAAAAGAAACGGAATGAGAATGTAGAGAGAGCCATCCATCAAACAGGAAAAAATTTATCAAGTGCTTTTCTGGGCCTCTGGACTGTTGACTTACTGAAGCTGTGACTTCCGGGGGGAGCAGAACCACATGAAATGGACTCGCAGTTGCTCCAAAAGGGCACGTTTGAAGTGGATTCTCACACTTGAATTATTTCACCCATGTGCTTTTGCACTGCCCTTGAGTTACCCCCTGTAACACAGGAAGTGCTAACGTGCCAGCACCCATGCAAAGCGGAGGCTCCATTTTGGGTTCACTTGTTTTAAATATCTGCCTAAAGAAAGAAATCAAGAACGCCAGTTGAGGACACATCGTGCGGGAAATTGGTGACTCAACTCACTAGACTGGAAACAACCAGATTTCAGGAAGTTTAGTGGACAGATCGGCACCATGCAGAGAACACTTGGCCAATATGTGAATCCTCTTAATCACCTAATAATGGCCATTAGAGCATGCACTTTAGGTTGGGGATTTCAAACAACAACACAACAATGTAGAAGCCGACGTGCTTTACTACTGCCTGTGTACCAGGCCCTGTGCCAATAAGCATTTTATATGACCGATCTCTTACTTCTCCTGATAGCTCCAGGATTTGGGTGAGCTCTAGTATGGCCCATTTTACAGCAGAGTAAACTGAGGTTTAGAGAGTACATCTTTGTCCAGGCTGGGTTTTGGCAGGTCTGGCATGTGAACCCGGGCAGGCCTAGCCACCATCTCAATTCACCTCTCTTCTTGGTCTTTCCTGTGTAATATCCTAATAGACTCACAAGATGTACTGGGGCCCTCAGTTTATAGACAGTAATATTTCTCTTTGTTTCCCCATAATCCCCTTTCCTCTTCTTTCTCCAGGAAACCTCTCATCTAGCCATTTCCTGAGAGCCAGGTACTTATATGAGCTGGGTGGCCTCTTCTAGTCTTTGGAAGGTGAATCAGTAACGAGACTGACAGGAGGCGACCCCAAGCCTTATGAGGCCTTTCTCTTTCACCTTTCTGGACCATCTCCCTGGTTAATGTTATTATTTATTTACTAATTCTTGAGATTAGCCTTAAATAAATGATGAAGAGTGGTTCGTGCTTTGAGAATCGAAAAGAAGGTGAAGTAGTGTGTGTGTGTGTTGGGGGGGGCGCGGGGGGTTGTTCTTTCCAGTACTTCCTGAAAAGAACACTGTGGGATGGCTCATTCCAGGGACTTATATGCCAAGTTGATTCAGAGGGAGAGGGATTGGCACTGCCTCAGTTCTTGGATATATTAGGATTTTTGTTGATTCGAGGCCCAGGTCCCTATTAGGTACTGCAGTAGAGCTCTTTGTCTGTGGGATTTTTCACTGTTTGAGGCAGACTTCTGCTCCCTCCAGTGTAGCTGAGAGCACATTGAGACCCTGTGTGTGTCTCCTAATGAAAGTCCAAGTCTTATTCCAGAAACCTCCATCCGCTCATTGCTGGTGGGCTGGGTGTGTGCGCGCTCTGAACCCCTTGGAGCCCATCTCTACAGTCCAGGAGCTTGGGAGGTGAGGGGCAGGAGTTGTGGAGAGGCAGGTGGCACCGTGGTTAGGAACCTGGAGTCTGTTTCCATGCCCGGCCACTACCTTCTAGCTAGGCAGTTTTAGCCAACATACCCTTCTGTGCTTCCGTGTCTTACCCTGGAAAATAGGGCTAGAACAATAGTTCGTTGATGGAAGGTTAAATGAGATGCACATTTGAAACACTTGCCACTGCTTGACTAAGTGTGAGCTATTAGTATTGGGGTACGGGCTGCTCTGAATGGAACCCTGGCTTTGAGAAAGGAGGCAGTGAATACGGAGGTTCCCCTCAGGAGTTTCAGATATTTCCTGTTCCAGAATCCACCTCCCCCAAGATTTTTTCCAGACGTCCTGTCTTCCGTGTTTGACCCCAGGGAGAGGTCATTGGGGCGGTTTGTCCTAGGATCCACCTTTCCCCAGGTGCCTCCTGCTGCCCTGTGACAGTTCACCTCCCTGACCTGGAGACTCTCTGGTCACAGAACACCCAGGGACCCCTGAACACCAGCGTGTCCTGGTCTGTGTCTCATCTCCTCAAGTCCCTATTCTCCACTAGAAAGCTAGTTCCTGCCAGGGAATCCGGGTTCATGTTCGCTGTGCAAGGTGTTCTAGCACCTCCCCCGCCCCCATCTCACTATGTGGGTACATGAGGCTGGCTCTTACCTCTCTGCTCAGGAGGCCACGGGTCCCTGAAATATAGACAGCTCACTGTCATCCTTTTCCTCTTTTTGTGGAATAAATGTGTTTTTCAGCAGAAAATGAACACACAGGGGTTACTAGTGCCCGTGCACGGCCTTGTGGTGGATGGACAGACACAGTCACAGTGGTGATGACCCGCTAAGTCAGTGGTTCTCAACCTGTGGGTCGCGACCCCTGAAAATACATCCTGCATATCAGATATTTACATTACAATTCACAACTGTAGCAAAATTACAGTTATGAAGTAGCAACGAAAATAATTTTATGGTTGGGGGTCACTACAACATGAGGAACTGTATTAAAGGGTAGCGGCATTAGGAAGGTTGAGAATCACTGCAAGTGGTCTCAGTTCTTCCTGTGTGTTCTCTTGATGGCATCTCATGGCAACTGTATGACAGAAGATGCTGTGATTGTGCCCATTTCCCAGATGAGCAAAGTCACCTTCCATGCCCTCATGGAGTTAAATTTTATCTCATAGCTTCAGCAGTTGGCCTGCTTGAAGGCCAGATGTCCAGGGACCCTGTCCGTATTGGTCATGGCCCTCATCTCACCGCAGCCTCTCTCCTAATCTTCGTCCTGGGAACTCTTTTCCTTGCACCACCCCCAAACACCCCCACCAGCTTCCCCTCTCCGCTGCTTGCTCAGCTTTCAGCTTGCCTTCCTCTCAGGGCCCCCTAAGGAGGGTGAAGTGTTTTTACTCCTCCTCCTGCCAGGTGGGCTTAAATAGGCAATCACAGCAAGACAATTAAAAAAAGTCCCGAGGGAGTCTCCCTCCTTCCCCCTCTTTCTCCTCAGTTAATTTATTTCCTTTATAGGAGGCCTAGGGGAGCCAGTCTAGGCCAGGGCTGCTCAGATAGGGCTTGCCAGCGCATTCTCCATCAGAAACAGAGCTGGTTGCCCCCTCCTCACCCCCACAGGCTCCAGGGAACAGCGGCTCTGGTCCAGAGGTTATGCCATGTGCCCACTCGGCCCCCTCGGAGGCCCATCATGTGGTTTTCTTCCTGCTCATTGACTTTTATTTTCTGGTCCGGGGGAATTTCCTGTTGGTTTGATGGCCTCGCTGTGCAGAGATCACCTGAGCTGGCGCAGAGACAGCCCCATGCCTGGCTGCTCCAGGACGCTTCCCCTTTCCTCTCACGCTCCCCCACCCCAGGCAGCTCTGCTCAGAAGAGCAGGATCAGGCCCTTGTGAGGCATCTCTGTCCATAGGGAGCTTGTGTTCTTCCTTTGTAATAAGCAGGCCGGGTGGGAAGGCCAGTGCAGGGAAAGGTAAGGAAGGTGTCGCTGATGTCCACCTGCCACTTCTCTCCTGGCCTCCAGCGTTCCCCGTCTTGTCCTTCCCTCGCCATCTCTGTTGCTGCAACTTAAGTCACAGAAACAGGGAGGTCAGACAGGTTCATGCAAATTGGAATTGTTCTCACTGTCACGGAAATAATACAATGTCTTCAAAGCATTGCCCTTCTCACCCGGTGTCCACGCAAATGCTTACAATGCCAGGCAGAAACCTGGGCCAGGGGGTCTCCATGGCACTTCTCGGCTGAGGGGATTGTAGTCAGTAGGCCTCCTTGGCCGGCAGCTCATTGTGAGACGAGAGAGAGGGGATACCCTCCTGAGTCTGGCTTTTCTGATATTGGCCCCTCCCTTCCCCATGCCCCCAGGATAGTTCTACCCTGTAGTCATGCCCCCCCACCCCCACCACATCTGCCACCTGCCACCATCTTTCTGGCCTTTCACTCAGCCCATTAGCAAACAGCTATTGAGCTCCCACCCGCAGTCCTCAGCTCCCGCCTTCTGTGCACTGATGACATTAGCCTCTTGTTAGATTTGGGAAACAGCCCAGGCTCGGGGTTTGAAAGGCTCTTGGCTTTGCCACTTACCAGCTTGTGATTTCTGGGGGATCCACTTAAGGTTTCTGGGCACAGAACCGATGGAGACTGGGAGAGTCACATGGGGTGGTGAAGGCGAAAGGCCTTGTCAATACAGTGTGTGCCTGTGGCTGCTGTTAGTCTTACCAGCGGGTTCCCGTGGCGTGCTGTGCATGCAGTGGTGCCAACACTTTGCCCTGGCAAACAGAGGTGCCTGCTGTTAGTGCCTGAGCCTGATCAAAGCCTGAAGCATCCTTTTCCCAGATTGAGGAATCTGGACAGGCCCAAAGCCCCCCGCCCTCTCTTCCCACCATGGTGCCCACAGCCCTGCCTTCCCAATGCAAACCTTTCGGCTTAGCTCCCCCTGCTCATAACCTCAGCAGACCGTGGCCCCCACTCAGTCCAGCTACCAGGCCAAGTGTGACTCCCACTTGTTTCTTCCTATCGAGCTATCTCACCAGCCTCCTCCTCCTCCTCCCAGTCTAGCCCTTGGAAGCCTGTGCCTTAAGCCAGACTCTGAGCTCTCTCTTCCCTCCGGCCTGGAGGACTCCTGGAGCACCAGGACCCAGCTGGCCCCGCTGCTGCCTGCCCGTCACCGCCTCTCTGGGGCTTTGTCTGCAGACAGGCTGCAGGCTTCCACCACATACCTAAGGTCCCACTGCCTGGTGCAGGCCTCAGGCCTGGATATCTGCCTCCCTCCTCCCTGCTCCCCAGGTGCTCAGCAAGGCCAGAGTGGGCTGCTCTCCGACTGGCAGCACCCAGCGAGCCCACACCCCCTCTTCCTCCCCCAGCTTCCCGAATTATCTGGCTTAGGTCATATTACAGGGACACACCTGGTCACAGAGAATCGGAACGGCACAAGGGGGAAAGAGAAAGACAGCAAGATAGAAATACAACACGGTCTTTGTTTTTTTAATATGTTTTTATTGATTTATAGAGAGGAAAGGAGAGAGATAGAGAGATTGGAGCATCGATGACATGAGAAAGGAATATCATCGAGCGGCTGCCTTCCGCATGCCCCTAGTGGGGATCGAGCCCCACAACCCAGGCATGTGCCCTGACGGAGAATCAAAACAGTGATTTCTTGGTTCCTGGGTTGAAGCTCAACCACTGAGCCACGCTAGCCAGGCACAATAAGACCAGTCTTGATGCTTCTTCAGGGTTCTGCCAGGCCCGGTCTTGAGCCATTCTCAGAACATTCTCAGAAACAATGCCTTTCCCTCCCCCCCGCCCTCCTCTGGGACTTTCTGTCCAATGTCTGGAAAAGTCTTCCAGCTGGGGTCATGCGTGAGTCACAGAGCAGCTGAGAAACTTTAAACAAACTTGGGGCTTCTTTCTGGACTCCCTGGTGCCTGCTCATGTGAGGATGTGTTTCGGAGAATCAGAATATTAAAACATCAAAGGACGTCATTCAGGGACAGTTTCTCTTGGCTGGTTTCCACATGAGTGGAGAGAGGATTGTGGCCAAGGAGACAGAGGGACGGAGTTGACCGCAGGGTTAGGCATCTGAAATCAGGTTTCTCCCAATATTTCATTTCTACGAACGCTTTGGAGGCTCTTGATTCCAACAGCATTTCCTTTCCTTCCTGACAAATGTATTTCTGTCTCTGGCCTCGGTCCTCCGCTCTGGGGAGGGTCCAGATGGGAAGACGGGGGCCCCGTTACCACTGCGCCATGTGTGATAGGCCGTACCTTCCCTTCACACCACCCCGCACTCTCACTTCTCACTTTAGCCTTCCGCTTTTTCTCTTCTGTTTCGCGTTGGGGAAAGTTGTGTTTCTGTCTTGCCGTGTGTGGGGAATCCTGTGTGATCAAGTGTTGTCATATAGTTTTGGATTTTGGCCACTTCCAACTTCCCCGCTCACTCCTCCCATGTAAAGGCTGGGATTTCTCTTTAATTCATATGCATTCGTGCTTGACGATAGCAGGCTCTGGTGGCTGTGGCTCTGGCCCACCTTGGAGTCACCTGGGAACAGCTTTCTCAGCCTCTGCCTGCAGTGGTCCCCTAGAATGGCCTCAAATTCCAGGAATCTGGATGAGCATGCCCAGAAGGAATGCCTCAAGAGTGGCCCTCAGTCGCTGAGGATAAAGGCCCTGGCTGGCTTGCCCCTTGGTAAGGCAATCTGAGGTGCAGTTCTCCACAGCAACTCAGGGGAACTGAGCCTGTGTGATCCAAATGGTAACCCTTGAGTTAATGCACCCTTCATTGGCTCTCATCTCTTCCCCTGTTTCCCACCCCTGCCCCCTCACTCTGTTTCCTGGGATCACTTCCCAAATAACCAGTTGCACCCAAAGGCTTAGCAGGCTCTGCTTCTGAAGAAATCCAGATGAAGTCAAGGACTCATCTGAGCATTGCTTAGCCCAGGGGTCCTCAAACTACGGCCCACGGGCCACATGCAAATACAAATATTGTATTTGTTCCCGTTTTGTTTTGTTTTTTACTTCAAAATAAGATATGTGCAGTGTGCATAGGAATTTGTTCATAGTTTTTTTTTTAAACTATAGTCCGGCCCTCCAACGGTCTGAGGGACAGTGAACTGGCCCCCTGTTTAAAACGTTTGAGGACCCCTGGTAGCCTCTTGCCTTTGTAGCTTTGGCTCTTACTTGAACCCCTGGCACCTAGGGCTGGAAAACGCCTGGTGATCTAGTTCACATCCTGTCCCCACCCCCAGCCCCAATGCATTGCTTGGGTCCCCTCCGTGACAAATCTTGCTTTGCTTGACCCCATCCCTCAAGTGTGTGTTTCAAAGTCACGAAATAGCGCAGTGGTTGCCAGTTTTGCACACCAAGACCTACTTTCTCGTGTGAAAGCCGTTACTGGCTGGGACAGCTTCCTGAGTCAGGCGAGCGGGCTGAGAAAGGTGATTTGGGGTGGGGACGATGAAGAGGCCAGAGGTGCTCCTTTAAAATCCGGGTGGCCACTTGTGAAGATGGGCACTTTCCTTTCCTAATTGGTCCCAGCCAATGGATAGCAGGAAATGCCCCCCCCCCTCACCCCTGGAGCTTAACTCGTGCTGATGACAAAGGCTCATGGCCCAGCACTGCTCCCCAGAGATCTCCGCTGAGGCTGGCTCAGATGGGGCTGCGAAAAGACTTCCTTTGTCCAGAATACAATTCCTATGTGAGATAATTTTAGATGCTACACGGATGGACATATTTGGCGTGAATGTGCCTCATCGTTCCCTCCTGTTTATAGCAAGTGGTAGTTGTTTCCCTGAGGATCTGGAAGCAGAGTTTCCTTTGACAACGCATTGATTTGAATAAAGGAAAGTGAGTCTGTTTATTTGGCTCGTGCAAAAACTATGAAACCCCGACAGATCCGCGACAGCGTCCCAGAGCGTGGGTGTAGGCCAGGTGTCTCCTGCGGGGAGCCCGAGGGTGACATTTGTCTTTTTTGCTAACGTTTACGGCCTTTAAAATATTTCTTTGAAAGAAGGGCAGGGATTTTCTTATTGAAACAGGTATTTTTGGAAAGCAACGCATATTCCTGACTAGCCTGTGGAAGCAGGGTTTTTTAAGCTGGGGGAACCCTGATGGCTTGACTAAACGAGAAACACAAAAAATAGACCTTCGGACTTAGATGGAAATTCCAGGTACTCGCTCCGGAGGCCGGCACTGCTCATTCGTGGCGGGCAGCACGTACGGCGGGCGCGGGTCGGCTGCCGCGTGGTGGTGACTATTGATTTTTGAAAAGCCGGGCTGTAAACGAGGGAGCAGGAAGTTGAGCGCCCCCCTGCCAGTGTCTGCCTGCCTGGCTGAGCAGACCTTCCCCTCCGGGCAGGAACCCTCATTTACGGGAATGTATTTATTTTTACATATCAGTGATGTATTTTTGATGTGCTTGATTAAGTATTATGGGCTCAGCCCCAGGAAACACCACTGCAGTTTATAAATAGCGAGTTGAGGGGTGGACAAGGTTCCTGGAATGACGGCAGTATTTTTGCTTTTAGGTGCCTGTGTACATTGACGACTTTTTTTTCCTTTTCTTCAGACCAGCTCTCGCCCAAGTATGTCTGCTTTTTCTTTCAAAACATCTTTGTGTGAATTCCTCGGGCTCTCTACTCGGCCCTTCTCTCAAACACCTCACTGCACAAATGAATAATCCCAGATAACATTATATGCCAGATTCAAAACTTAAGTCTCCACTTGAAGTTCATGAGGCCATGTCACTTTCAGGGCACCCCTAACTCACTGCTTGGAATCGGGTTTTATTATCTGGCAACAGCGCTCCCTCGCCGAGATTTCACCTCTGATGTCATTTCTCAGGCTCCTGAGAGATTCCACTAGACCCAAGGAGGCAGCTGTGATCACTGTCTAAACTCTTGTCTCCCCGCCCCCTTTCCAAATCCCAACAGAAATGGAGATCTTCGCCCTTTTCAACAGACCGAAGAGCCATCAGGAGTGCCGGCAGTACTATACGGTCACCATTCCTCTCCGGGTCTCCACGAACGGCCAGGCAGTGAGCGGTTTGGATGCCAACTGGCTGGAGCACATGAGCGACCACTTCCGGAAAGGAGGCGTGCTGGTGAATGCCATCTTCTACCTTGGCCTGGTCAATGGTATGGAACCCACAGCCCCCGGGTGGCCCTGGAGAACTCTGCTTCTCATTCTTGTCCTCTGAGCCCATCTTCAGAGCCTGCTTCGCTCAGAAAACTCTGCAGCTAATGAATGTGCAACATTTGATTTCCCATGAACACGCCTTGAGGCGGTTTCCATAAAGCCCACCACCTATGCCGAGGCCAGAGACACCTATGCTCTCTCTCTAAACCTCGTCTAGCCAGGTCTCTTCTAAAATGCCAGAGACAGGCGTGATTCTGTTTCACTGGTGGTGGTCTCCATCTGTGTTGCTTTTCAAGGCTTTGAAAAAGATTTTTCCCCAGTTTTGTTAATTGCCCCCTGGGATCATGCCTCTCCGAGAGTGTGAATTGTTTGTAGACACTCTTACAGTTTGAAGTAGCAGTAGCAGCACCTCGGAATTAGCAGCAGAGACGTGCACTGAACAGCCTGGTTCCTGCAAGCTCCGTGGGGACACGCGCTGTTCCCGGGTCTCGTGGCACCCAGGACTCCCTCCCCAGTGGTGGGTTATCGCTGGGGTTTGTTGCATGGGGTGGCAACGTTGCTGGTGTCAGCTTTTCGAAGGCAGAGAGCAAGTCTGCCCAACCCGGGGAAGTGTGTCAAGCAATTAGGAGGGGGTTTTTGAGTTAACACAAAGGCAAGTTGAGTCACTAGGGTGCATCCAAGCTGGGAGGCAACTGGGGAGTGGGGCCAACAAGCCAGCCGCTGTGGGTCCTGAGGGCTGCCAATCAGCAGGATTCCCAGGTAAGTGAAATGTTGCACCGAATTTGTTAATCTCAGCAAACTGGGGTGGGGAGGACACACCCACAGTGCAGCGTCTGGGTTGTTGAGTCGTTTTCTAAGAGTTAGCAAAGTCAGGAATAGAGTTGGATTTTACATTATTTGCTATGTCAGCAAACACACACAGAAGAGACATCAGTCTTCATTCTGGATGTACCTTCTATATGTCATCCAAAGCTTTAGAACACTACAGCACAGACAGATCTCAACATTGGACACCACCCCTTGTTACTAGAGAAATATCAATAGCTAAGTTAATGTGATAGCATAGTAGCAGCAGGCATCCAATGGCAGAGTGGTCACAACCAGCTGTGCGGTGGGTGAATGACAGAAGAAAGGTGACTGGTTCATTATGAACACATCCCGAGCAGCGCTGTCCAATAGAACTTCGTGCCATGATGGGAATATTCTATTTTTATTCTATTTCTATGCTGTCCAATATGGTAGCCATGCATGGCTAATGACCTGTTGAAATGTGGCTAGGAGGGCTGAGAAACTGAATTTTAGAATTTAATTTTCATTTGTTTAAACTTCAATGACTGTCCAGCCAGTGTGGCTCAGTGGTTGAGCATCAACCCAGGAACCGAGGTTGCCAGTTCAATTCCCAGTCAGGGCACATGCCCTGTTTGTGGCTTGATCCCCAGTGCAGTGGGGGAGGGGCTGAATGATGTTCCTCTCAATAGCAACATTACAGGTATGAAGTAGCAACGAAAATAATTTTATGGTTGGGTCACAACATGAGGAACTGTATTTAAAGGGCCAGAAGGTTGAGAACCACTGTTCTAGCCCTTTCTCTTCCTCTCTCTCTCTCTCTACAAAAATAAATAAATAAATAATAAATTTCTAGGACTGTATGTGGCTAGTGGCTAGTGTATTGGACAGTACAGTGCTAGAGTATCCATTGCATGGATATAACTAAGGAAGAGTCCTTTCGGTTCTCTGGCAGCAAGGTCGGTAACCTCCCTGTATACAAGGCGGCTTTCCATGGTGCTTGCAATGTCCCCTGAAGCTAGAGAATGTCACCATCTGTTCTGAGATGCACCATAAAACATCAGTGGCATCGGCTTGGGGGAAATGTTCACAGCCCTGATTCATCAGCACTTGGGGAGAACTCTTCACTGCCTGCTTCCTGCAGGGACACCCCATCTCCCATCTTGGATTGTGGTCACATCAGCTCCTTTTATCTCCTCTGGGTGCTCCCGGAGGCTCCCTGTGGCTGTGCATAGTTTTGCGTTTCTCCTTGGGAAAAACCGATGGTTAGTTGTGCTCACATCCTAAAGCTGCAGGGAGGCACCGAAGGTGGCAGCTACTCAGACAGCCGCTGGTAATCTCCCCCTTAGGAGCGCGGGGGAGTCCAAAGAGACGTTTTTCTCTTTGGCCTTCCTGCCCGCACACGTCGGGGGCAAGCTGAACCCAAGAGGTCACCTTGAAAGTTCTCAGTGCCCTTCATTGTCTCTCTAGCCATTGTGGCTTTGGCAATGGAGGCTGAGTCTCCTCCACTCCTCCTCACCCCATTCTTCAACCCGGAGTCCAGCCGCACAGACTTTTCTTCCGATTTGACCCGGGTGTTTGAAATGCTGTTCTGTCCTCCGTGGGCTTTAGCTGCATCCAGTCCAGCCTTCCGGCCTTGAAAACACAGGGTGAAATTCCCCCTGGCGAGCGCAGCTGTGAGAGCCTGCACCGAGCCCGTGGCATCTCCACGGCGGGGCTGCCACATCTCTGTCGCGGGGACGGCTGCAAAATTCTCAGAACAGAATTCATTTAAGCTGTCTCAACATTCAAACCCAATTTCCCCCTGTGTGTCTGGCGGGAGGGAGAGTGTGACTTGGGAATCATGCTCAGTGGGTTAGGGCATGTCTGCTCTGGAAAAGCCCAAGGTTTCCGTTGGCCAGGGATGACATATGCATATGTTCTCTTCCCAGAATTGAAAAAAAAAAAAAAGAAGCAAGATATTCCTAATTAGAAAAGGAACCTGTTTCTAAGAAGACAATTAGTGTCCTTACAAATAGACCTGGCAGAGCTGGAAGCACATCTTTAAGCAGTTTGCCATCTGGAAAAGCACCCGTCTCACTCCTCCATGGGTCTTTGTACTCCAGATTATTTTCCACGGAGTCAGACAACTCACGAGAACTTTGTCCCATAAACAAAGCGATGTTTCAGCCTGAATTACGCAGTTAAGATTCCAGCTTCTGTTTTCGAGGCTCTGCTCCCCAGGCCGTGGAGAGACTCGCGTGGTCCTCAGGTGTGGGCTTCTGTTCGTGGTGTCCAGGGCTCCTCTCCTCAGAGGGATCAGGTGTCTTGGGCTGGGGAGGCTGTGCCCTTAGGCCCTGGCAAGCTAGGGCCCTGGTGAGAGCAAAGCATGATGATGCTGATGGCTGGCACCTAGCTGGTACCATGTGCTGTTGCTACTCTAAGCAGTTCAAACATAGCAACTCATTGATTCCCCACAACCCGGGGAAGGAGGCACAGTTGTTATGCCTGCGTTACAGCTGTGGACACGGAAGCACAGAGCGATTAAGTCATTGTCCAGGCAAGGAGGTGGCAGGGAGAAAAAAGGGTGTGGGCAGGGGAAAGGGACATGAGGAGGAGAGAAGAGAGGTGGCTGTGTTGGTGAGAAGTTGAGGTGGCCCTCGGGGAGGATGGGGAGCTCCAGGGTCACCCTCAGGGAAGTAGCGAGACCTGGGTGGCCGGCCAGCAATGTGGATGGATCCCCGGGCTGGTCAGACAGCAGAGCAGACAGGCACATAAAAACACTCCAGCCAGTGGGACAAAGGCCAGAATCGACGCTTCTAGAGGGCGGAAGAGGCGGGGAGGAGACCCTCTGCTGAGCTGGCTGTGATGAGGAGTCGGCAGGCACTAGGAGTCGAGTCAGGGTGAGACGGAGCTGGCTGCCCACCAGCTGAAGGCCCACCCAGGAACCTGATTTCTCACCCAGGGCATCCAGGCCAGCAGAATCCCTGCTGCCATCGTGGCCACCAAGGCTACTGCTGCCACCACCAGCTCCCCTTGCCCTGCCAGGACCCTCCCTGTGTCCCCCCGCCCTGTCCTTGCTCTGCATTTCTGTTATTCTACCCTCACCCTGCCTTGCCCCCTCTTTGCTCTCCACTTGGCCCCATCTCACTCTGTCCTCACTCTTCTCTCCTTGCCCTGTGCTGGCCCTCCCCACCCCTGACCATGACCCTGCCCCTGCCCTCACCTCTCCCAGCCCCACACTCCTTCCCCCTCTGGCAGTATGGCCTTTCCCCAGCCCATATTCAGATGCCTTCAGTGGTCTCAGACATGGCCTTGGCAGTGAGTTGTCCAAACCAGAATGCAGGCCAACGACATGTACTGCCCATGGTGACCACACCCTCACTGCTCTTCCACTTACTTAGAAGAGTCGTTCTGTATGACCCTGCCCTGCCTGCTTGACATAACCCTGGCCTCTTCTCCTGCACAATGTCCTGTTTTGTGGGCCAGTGCCTCTTGGGGATATTCATCTTACCTGTCTCTCTCACCTTCTCTAGCCTCTCTTTCCCATTAAGTGGAATTCAGTTCCAAGATCTTGATAAATTAAGCACTTACGACAGAAAACGATTGTCTTCCTGGGGCCTCTCCCCGATGCCCCAGCCGCATCTAAATCCAAGTATCCTTTGGTATTTATACCACCTTTTTTTTTTGACGCCTAGCACAACGTACATGACGTTATATTTGCAAAGTATACATGTAAAAGACATGCACATATTTCAGGTTAAATACATGTAGAGACATATATTTTATACAGACATACTTTCAAACCCTCAGGCAGGCCCTGTGTGCTCTGTTCATCTTAGGAGGATCGAAGAGCTAGGGGTGGAGGGAATGGAAAGGGAGGGAGAGTGAGGTAGTTCCAGCTGCTTCTAGTAGCCGCTCCCTTGGGACGCTGCCATCTCCAAGAACGTTTGGCCTGGTGGTTCCAGGCATGGCTTCTCTCTCTGAGGAGCCAATGAATAATGTAGGTTTCACTTATAGCATGAAGTGCATTTTCTCTTGGACCATAGCACATCTATAGAAAACTGTACAGGTCATAAGGATATAGCTCAGTGGATTTTCACAAGGTGATCAACCCGTGTAACTAGCTCAGTGAGAAGCCATGAACTGTGCCCAGCCGGGTGCCTCACACACAAAGGCAATGACTCGGAGCATGTCTTCCTCCGTCAGTTCAGTGGTGCTGGACTTGCAGGTGAACCCTTCCTGTAACTGAAGAGGAACCTAGGTTATTCACTGCTTCAATGCAGGAAGGAAGGCCGAGAGCAGCAGCGAGGGCTGGAGAAACGGGGACAGGCAGCAAACCGGCTTGCTTTTTTGTTGTCAGATCAGCTGCAGTGTGATTGGGAAGCAGAGTGGCACCATCAGCCGGGATTGGTTGATCCGTAATTATATGCGGTGGGGTTAGAGGTCGGCATGACAACATGGGCAATTACGGACCTGCAGCAGGTGCATGCCATTCCTGGAACCAAGGTGGTGCCACGAGCACCATGCAGTGCCTGATGGGGAGAAGGGCTTCCAGAGAGCCGAGGAGATCTGTCATGCCAGCTACCCCAGTGTGGACAATTTAGTCCCATCTAGCTGCTTGAAAGGAGCACAGTAACATTTTTTCTAGACCACATGCATTGACCACTTGTCATGGTGTGTGCGTTTCCTGCCAGATGTTGGGGGAAGAATAGCACCTCGGGTGAGCCCGCAGGTTAGCTTGCTGGACGGAGTGTTAATGTGTCAGAGGCTACAGGGGAAGAGCCGCTGCCTCACAGAATTTACCTCTTGGGATAATAGGGCAAATCTCCTTTCCCCACTTCCTTCTTGTAAATCATAAGCTTGGAGTGTTAAGGTGGCCTTTTGCCAAAAGACCGGCATCAAATATTTATATAGTACCAGGGCGAATAGCTCTCCGTGCACAGTAGGGAAGCTGCTTTACTTTTATAAAAAATGCAGTGATAATGGAGTGTTTTCCAGAGATGGAGGGCGAGCTAACCTTTTGCATCGGGAGCCTTCACTCTCAGATAGAGCTATTTATACCCAGCGCGGAGGCTGAGCTAGAGGGCAATGAGGAGACGGGGGTGGGCGTGCGCGTCAAAACGGGGGACTGTTTAAAAGCCCAGCTGTCTGCTCTCTGTGGTTCATTGACTTTTTTGCTGTTACAGATGACCAAACTGTGACAGCCGCTCTGAGCTTGCTTCAGAGTTAAGTAGGTGAATCAGCATTCTGGATTCGAGATAGCGGAGCAGCGGGCTGAGAGGCGGGAAGGCGGATGCTGGATGTGGAGGCTGGGAGATAAGGGCCTGGCTTGTTCCTACTTCATGCCCCCAAGTGCCGCCGTACCTCTCCCTGCTGACTGCACAGCCCTCCTCCCAGCCCAGGCCTGCGTACCTCTCCCCACTGACTGCACAGCCCTCCTCCTAGGCCTGCGATCCGATCGGGAGGAAGGGGCAGCCAGGCAGGGGTGGGAAAGGAAGTCTGGACTGACTGCAGTGTCTTCTTCCCCCTCTGGACCTCCACTCGGCAGCACAGTGCCATTGGCAAGCTAAACACCATCCCGTTGTTTGGATCAAGTTGGGCACTTGACTCTGTGAAGTACATGGTAGGCACCTTGTAGGGCTTGGAGGTGTTCCTTTGAGGACATCTGTAGGTAGAGACTTTGGAAATTGGATAGAACATATTTTTGTAGAAGCCTCGAGGGGATTTGTGCCATGTGGATATAATCCCAGAGGAATTGAGCATCTTCTGGTCTCAAGCAGCAGGGGCTCCATCTGGGTCCAACTTTCAAGATGAGCTGGACCGTGGTCCATGCTTGTCCTGGATCTCAAAATGCTTGTCATTCAGCTGAAGAGCGTCTCTGTTCTTCCCTGGTCCCCTTTGCAAAATGTCTCTTAGGAAGGCATTGGACAAACACTGGGGGAAGCTTTTAAGCAGAGCAGATGAGAGGCAAGCTTAGAAGTTTTGTTAAGGCTGTTTGCTAACAGATTCTCGGGATAGGAAACAATTAAAAACTGGAGCTTGGTATTGATTAACCCCAGGGATCTTACTTGAAATGAAGTCCATGTTCAAGGTGCCAGCAAATTTGGTTTCTGGTGAGACCTCTCTTCCTGACCTGCAGACAGCTAGCTCCTTCTCTGTGTCCTCATATGGCCCTTCCTCTGTGCAAGGACTGGGGAAGGGGTCTGGTGTCCCACTTCTTATAAGGACATCAGACCTGACAGATTAGGGCTCACCCTCATGACCTCAGTGATTTCCCTAGAGGCCCTATCTCCAAATACAGTCACTTTGGAGGTTAGAGTTTCAACATAGGCTTTGGGCTGGGGGTGTGAGGGCCACAAGTCTGTCCATAGCAGTCTGACTGAGCGGTGATTTGTAGAGTAGAATCCAGGGACCAGGAGGGAGTTTCTGTCCGCCACCACATTTCACAGATGAGAGACCAAGTCCCTCAAAGGGATCACATCACTTCTGTTGATAAAGCATGGACCCAAGCCACCTGCTTCTAAGTCCAGTCTTCTTTGCCACAGTCTCTGATCTAAATGAATCTAGGGCAGCGGTTCTCAACCTGTGGGTCGCAACCCCTTTGGGAGTCGAACGACCCTTTCACAGGGGTCGCCTAAGACCATTGGAAAACACATATATAATTACATATTGTTTTTGTGATTAATCTCTATGCTTTAATGATGTTCAATTTGTAACAATGAAAGCACATCCTGCATATCAGATATTTACATTATGATTCATAACAGTAGTAACATTACAGTTAGGAAGTAGCAACGAAAATAATTTTATAGTTGGGTCACAACATGAGGAACTGTATTAAAGGGTCGCGGCATTAGGAAGGTTGAGAACCACTGCTGTAGGGCATTAGGAACCATTCAAAAAAAGTGGGGAGCAGAAAGCTCCTCCCTTACTGTCTTCTGTGGGGGTAGGGACCCTGCTGTGATTTTCTTTATACCTCGTTGCCCAAGACAGTCTTGAATCATGCTGTTTGTGTAGCGTACATTTGTTGAATTGTACAGAACCCAGAACTTGGCACATTGGCTAAAGCAATGCCCAGGGAGATGTTTTCAGTGATAAATCATCTGGGAAAACTCCCCTCCCCCAAATTCTGCCTGTTGACAAGCGCTGCCTAAAGAGTTGTTTGTATGGCAGCCCACATCCTGGGAACTTCCAAGAAACAGCGCAACTAGCGTGCATCTGACAAGCTCAGATCTGGTGTGTCATATCTATCCCCGCTTTCAAAAAACGTCTCTCACCTAAATATAGCTTTCTTCTAAAAACTGCCTCTAAATGGCTGTGTTTTGCCCTGAATAAGTTCTCCCCAGTGCATCCTGACGTTGGAGCGTGGAAAGGAAGGTAAACGCGTGAAATCAAACGGTGATTGCTAACAATGAAATTTGGGCTCATAAAATCAAGGATATTATTCAAAACTGCGAGGTAAATTAGTCTCATTCATTCTGATGGGGCTAGACTCGATGGCAGTGTGTGCCTCCTTTAATTAACATGCTGAAAAGATGTTCTGATTGGGATTATTAATGAATGCAGTGAAAATCTTTGCTGCTTGTAAGGCTTCTGCCACAGACGGCTTACACAACCACCACCACCCCTTTTTTTTTCTTTTTCTTTTTCCAACAGATTCCTTACACAGCTTGACAGATGGAGTATTCATCTTTGAAGCCGTTTCCACAGAAGATAGCAAAACCATGCCGGGCTATGATGCTATTGTTGTCGAACAATGGACGGTCCTGGAAGTAAGTGTGGGGTTGGCAGGGGCGCCGCTTTTGTTCGGACGACGATGGTTTTTATTCGCTTGCTGGGTCTGCCCGTGGCTGCCGCTCAGCTGTGGCTTTCCTCTGAAAGGCCGTTTGACCTGGTGGACCCTACAAGGACCCCTTTTGTCTTTTCATGCTCCTCCTCTATCACGTTGGGGGATGGGCCCCACGGTTCCCTCTCTGTAGGGAAAGCACATCACGTGTCTCGGACCCTTCGGTGGAAAAAGACTCCTCTTTCATTTATTTGCATCTAAGTGAAAACTCTTAAGGGACATAAGTGAGGCAAACACGCAGTTGGTGGCCTCCGTACTGATAAAAGCAGCATCCTCATGGGCGCTCCCTCGGCCAGGCATCCTGGGAGGCAGGCTGTGCACGAGTGCTCCTTTAATCTTCACAGTAAGCTTACCAGGTAGGTTCCGTCATTGCTCCTGTTTCACAGATGAGGAAACTGAGGCACAGAGAGGTTGGGTCCCGGTCCTGACGTAACTCATGAAGTGCTGAAGGATGTCTTTGGGACATGTTGACCCCTTAGGCAACCACATTGCGGTGGGCAGGGGAGTCCTCGAGCCACGCTTTTCTGGGACTTGGGAAGAGCTGGTTTGTTTCTGAGACTCTCTGGTGTAATCTTTGGAGGCACTTCTCCAACTATGGAAGCATGGGCCTTTTAGGCTCTACTCTTGTCCACCCAGCAGATGGGCTGTATAAGGAGAAGCTGTTTGAACGCAGAGGGCTGGCTCCGGGGTGCCCTCAGCAGGTCCTGGGAGAACACAGAGATGGTGTCGCTCTGAGGGGCCCATGCAAACCCTGCTCTCTGTGCCTGAGACAGAGGTGGATGCAGCCCTTCGTGAGGGGTGACGGCACATGCTCTCCACACCCTGGTGTCCTTGGGAAGTACAGCCTGGAAGTGACTCCCTCACCTGGGTGCTGGGGTGGGGCACCCCAAGGGCACTGTTACTCGGCCTTTAAGCCTGCAGCGGTGAAGTCGGGAGCAGTGATAGGAAATAACTGCTTGCAAGTGCGGCAGCAACAGAGTACAAAGAAAAACTGTACTAATGAGAGGAATTCCGAAAACCCTGGGCCTGTTAGGGTCGGGCAAGGAGTCCTGAGAGCACATGTAGTGAGGGGAGTGAGGAATCAGATGACGACCTGGTTTGGGATCAGGCTCCCCCTGTCTCTCCGCCTGACCTTGGTCCCAGTGGGCCCCTAACTAAAAGTGGGGAGCAAAGGAAGAGAGGCTCAGTTTAAAATGCACAGTCCAGCCAGGGCAGGTCACGTCCCCTCTCAGGACCTTAACCTTCCTCCACTACAAGATGGGTCAGTGCAGTTCACGCAGCCCACCACACGTGGTAGAGTGAAGGCTCCAGGTAGTGGTAAAAGATGAAATAACAGGGGTAGCAGTTGAGGCTCTTGACCCCATTAAAACAGATTCAACACTCATTTGCTCTGAACACTTGGCTATACCAGCAGGCCATGCATGCCTGCACATGTGCGAAGCGATTGGCAGGCCATGGGGATGGGTGTCCAATCTCTTGTTGTCTGCCCATAAAAATGGCTGTGAAGGAGGGCATTGTGGTTTCCTCAAGAAAAATGACTTGAGCCAGCCGGTGTGTCTCAGTGGTTGAGCGTCGACCTATGAACCAGGAGGTCACTGTTTGATTCCCGGTCAGGGCACATGCCTGAGTTGAGGGCTCAATCCCCTGTGGGGCATGCAGGAGGTAGCCAATCAATGATTCTCTCTCGTCACTGATGTCTGTTTCTCTCTCTCTCTCTCTTTCTCTCTCTCTCCCTCTCTCCCTCTCCCTCTCCCTCTCCCTCTCCCTCTCTGAAATAAATGTAAATATATTTTTTTAAAAGAAAGATGACTTGATAGCAGTGATCTAAAACCATCTAAGAAAGTGGTTCTCAAAGGGAGGTCCCAGGACAAGCAGTATCAGCACCACCCAGAAGTCATTACAAATGCACATTCTTGGGCCCCACTTGGTCCGACTGAGTCAGAAACTCTGGGGTTGGTTCTCAGGGAGCTGTGTTTTCACATCGCTCCCGGGGGTTCTGATGCACAGTCAGTTTTAAGAACCAGTGTTTAAAAGACAGTAGGGGTGCGACACTCCCCAGGTGTCTGTGGTGAGAGAAGTGATGGAAAGAGTTCCCCAATGATTTATCTTCTTTAGCCTTTGAAACTATCCGTGTCCTTGATGGGTAACTGCAATGAATGCATATTGTATAAAATGTTTGTGGGAGGGAGATACAAATGAGGACATTTGTCTTTTTAATTTGAAGAGGTCAAACCGATGGGTTATGACGTTAGATCAGACAAGATTAACATTTATTCAGAAACTTTTCTTGGAATTGCAGATTGGTTTTCATTAGATTTGTCAATTTTATTTCTTTCTCAGATGTTTGAACTTTTCCCTCTTGACCTCTTACATGTTTGTCCCTGTCCCCACCCCCGCCAACACACACACACACACACACACACACACACACACACACACACACACACACAGAGTCGCTCATTCCAGGAATGCTTTGGCTTTCCCCTCAAGACTCTTTGGAAATGAACCAGGATTTTGAAGACCTGTGATAAGCCAGTGGTGAGCATCGGCTTACAAAACCACTTCTGTGTTTTCCCAACTCCATATTCAGTGACAAAAATTCCGTCGGGTTGGTAGCTTGAAGTTGGCCACGATGGAAGTCTTCCACCATGGGAATTGGCAAATGCTAGAAATGAGGGTCTTCTTTTCCTCCCTGGAGAGCCCGTTGTAATCGTTTACCAGCACACCACTGGATGGGCCTTTATTTTATCACATTTCAAATGATAAGGTACAGGTGTGGCTGGCATCCAGCTGGGCAGAAACAGATTTTCTGAATTTCATGACCAGTGGGCTTTGATGTTGTTCATCCGTTTTCCCTGCTCAAGTCTTTAGACCTGCTCTTCCCTCTGGTGTCTGTGGAGCACCCCAACGTTGCCCGCAGTGGAAGGAGACAGCTGTCCCGTTTAGCAGCGTCAGCCTCTCAAGGGGAAAAGGAGAGTAGATCTCTTTGGGGCAGACTATACCCCTATTGGTTTCTCGTCGTCTTTGTAGCTGGTGTAGGCAGTCTTCAGGAATCGGCTCAGAGGTCACCTCCACCAGGAAGCCTTTCGGACACTTCCTCTGTGTTCCCATAATTCTCTACACATAAACCTGTTGGGCTCCTGTTATACTCATCTTCATTAATCTGCTTTTCTCCCTTTACTCTGAGTTTCCTGGCCTGGGGATGTTCAGCTTTGTTCTCCAAGTCACCCAGAAATAACTTCCTGAATTGAGTTGCTGGCCTTTTGGTTCAGCCCAAGGGTAGACCAATGTTCTCAAAATTGAGCTTGTACCAGAAGAACCTGGAGAGTTTTTTTAAAAACATAGATAGATACCCAGGCTTCCCCCCCCCCTGCCCCCTCGAAAGCCTGAGTTTGCTTTCTATTCAGCCCACTTTGAGAATCCAGCCTTAGAGGAACCACGCGTACACAGCTGTGTTGCCAGCACAGCCCGGCAGTGTTCAACCCAGGACAGGTTTGCCCACAGCTCAACTCTCTGACGAGGCTCTGACCACAGACAGGGGCCCCTCCTCTGCATGCCCTCCAGGTGTGTGGGGTTGGTCCAGCTCCCTTACCTGCCACCCTCCAGACCCCGCTACTTCCTCTCTTCCCCATCCCTTTGGCCTGTGGGAAAGGTCTCTTCTGTTCAGGCCCTGGGCATGTTCCTCTTAGCTTGTGGTTCACCCTGCTTTTCTGGCAACCACTGTCCTCCCAGGCCACCCTGTGAACCCTTCAGCTGTGAGCACAAAACATGTCTGACCAGCTTTCTCTCTTTTCTCATGGCTGACATTGGCTTGTTCCTTTCCTGTGAATATTACTATTCTAAGCTCTGTGTGCATTCAGTTCAGCCACATCTTCCTGGCTTCCCTCTGTACGCGCACACACACACACACACACACACACACTTTCACTTTCACAAGAAAACCTACCTCACTCTTCACAGCCCTGCAAACAGTGCTAAATGTTGGAAAGAGAACGTAGATTGTAGAGTCTGGCCTGTGCACATCCTGGCTGTCTTGCTCCCAGCTGAGTAACTACATGTATGAGAAGTAAACCACCCCCTCTTTGTTATTCCATTTTTCAGTTGTGTACATGGGACACTGGCAACAACATCTCAAAGTTGGTGAGAATTAAAAGAAATAATACATTAGAAAGTTGTGAACATAGTACTTGGCATATAGGAAGCACCACTCTCTTCTATTGGTCACCTGGTATCATCAATTAGAAAGATCCTCTCCCTATAGCCTTGATCTTGTTCTAAAAGCACAGACGAGGTTGGGCTCGGGAAAGTGTGGAGTCAAATGCAAATAATTGTGTCTTTTTTCAGTTGGAAAACTGTGGCCAAAGGCAAAGGCAGTTGTGGAGAGGATAAGAGTCCATCCATGGGGCATTGGTAATGGGCATCTTGTTTACATTCTTTGAGCTTACAATCTAGAGCAGCGATGGCGAACCTTTTGAGCTCGGCATGTCAGCATTTTGAAAAACCCTAACTTAACTCTGGTGCCGTGTCACATAGAAATTTTTTTATATTTGCAACCATAGTAAAACAAAGATTGATATTTTTTATATTTATTTTATATATTTAAGTGCCATTTAACAAGAAAAATCAACCAAAAAAATGAGTTCGCATGTCATAGGTTCGCCATCACTGATGTAGAGTGTGAGCAGGAAGGGTAATTCCTTACAAGGAAAGTGGATACTACCTGGATGAATAAGCAAAGAGTAAGAGCCCGAGAGACAGAGACAGGGACCCTCTTCTCTCTGAGTGTGCACATCCTTTGGCCTGAGCCCCCAGCAGAGTTTGTGGATACCATCGGGGTCCTTTGAGCTGTACAGCCTTCTTCATCTTCATTCCCTGGAGTTCCTCAGTGCTGCTTATAAAATGTGCTTCCAACCCTAGCCCATTTGG